AGTTGATAGAAAAAAATATTGTGCTTATAGCATTCTACTCCTGCAACAAAGTGAACCACCACTAATTGGACATTTACCTTACTTTATTTCACATTTCTCTCTGTGATTTGTTTTGCAGAGATTGCAAGGTAGTGCTTTCCCCTATGAAATTGCTGTTACCACCATGCAACAAAAAAATTAATTTGAAGCAACTAAAGGAGCAGAATTATTATTTCTTCATTTTGCAGCATACACTCAAGTGTTTTTCAAAGATTTCTCTGCTCAGCACGTATTTTTTCATCCTACATTTATTCAACATTGTCTGTGAGTATAACATACAGATTAGGGGGTCCCTTGGCTCTTTGACACATAAATAAAGCTAAATTAGTCTGAATTCTTTAACTGTTCAGCCCTTCCACTAGCTCCTATTAACTCTGGTGGGTGTAGATCAATTATTGGGTTGTAAAAACAAAAGAGCAACAAACCCTTTTTAATGGCTGCATACAAGGTATCCTTTTGTGGTGCACTAAAAATAAATGTTCAGAAATATTTTCTAAATATATGTTCTTCACATTATCACATTGATAACCAAATGATGATTTGTGTTTTCCTACTCCACAAAAAAAGATGTTCTTATTTATGGACATATCTGTGTATATGAGAATACATCAAGATGTTATACATCCAGAATTAAATTCTTTTTCCTTAGAAACAGCTTCTGCTATATAAGAGACATTTACCTATCTAGCCACAATATGTATTAAGAGGTAAGTTAATTATTTGTTCATTTTACAGTATAAATATGTACTGTGTCAATTACCTAGAATTGTTTGAAAGAGTTCAGCATGAACAGAGCAGACTGATAAAAACACAAGTTAAAAGAAAAATAAGGAAGCTTGTTTCTCCAGCTGAAGAAGTTCTATGAAACAAGAGTCTGCCACTGTTGGCTTAATGGATATATTTCCTCTTCAATGTATCTATCACAAAGCCTGCCTCTTTGTGAATACACCAAGTTTTGCGTGTTCAACATCTAATTCTGCTGACACAGGTTCAAGAAGTAATACATATTCTGAACCTTATGTTCAAAAGCATCTTTTGGCGTAAGACTGACCGCTGTTCACGCCAATTCAAATGGCTTATCATCCATCTACTTTCTGTGCTACAGCCCGGAGAACAGAAGGATACTTGTATCAAGGCACGTCTCTTCACTGACACATTCGCTGTCTACAACGTAAGAAGCACCTAACTCTTGAAAAAACATGCTTTGCATGTGACACAATATCAACCAATATGCTGCAAAAAAATAGCACTGTCACACACATCTCCAGTACCTAATATGGCCAGGGTTTACAGGCACACAGGCATAGCTGGAATAGCACTTGTAGATTATTTTTTTAGATACTCAAGGCATTGCCCAGTGAGAAAACAGAGTACAATATTAATGTATAGAGTCTACAGGCAGACTACAACCAGGACTGATGGTTTATGGCTACAACCTGTCATACAGGCTCAAATGCTGGTTTCTGAGTTCCTGGAAATTTTACATGGATGGCAGGAAAAAAAATCACATGTGGAAGTAAGACCAAAAAATTATATATGTAAGCATATAGCTCTTACTACTTAAAAATTAATATGTACATCCATGCTTAAAATACAAGCATGCAGAACACATTGGCATAGGCAAATATAAAACATTAGAACACCTCTTCATTTTCACCCCTAATTATAAAAACTGTGTTTTTTACAGCAAACAATGGATGGATATTAACAACTGTAGGCTCTGGAGGACAATTACAGGGTTTTACAAAGTGTTCAGCAGTAATGACATCCAGAAAAGTTTGAAAAATACAGATTAAAACAAATTTGGAGGAAGACTGAATTTGTTTCAAAGTGTCTCGAAACACTTCAGCCAAGTTGTGCTAGCTGAAACTACTACTATGTAATATACTTCGGAGTGTATTTCTGGATTCTGGCTTTCCACAATTACAATTGTAAAAAGATACTTCATACTGTTCTAATATGTTAAAAAAAAATCAAATAATTATGTACAAAAACTTACCTAAAATGGTATTTTAATATTTAATCAAAGAGTGTTTATTTTTAAACTAATGCCTAAAATCTTAGCACAAATAAAAGTTTTACACAAACTACTTTGGATTTTAAACTCTTTGATTTCACAAAAAGTAAAAATATATCATGAGCATATTTAAAAAGTATACCAAGCAGTGTGTTCGTCCGTGTGTATGTGTGTGACACAGTAACAACTAGGAGGAACCTAAGTTTCCAAGAAGGCACTTTGTCTTTCACAAGTTAAGGAGGAAAAAAACCTTTTCCTCTGAACCAAAAAGATTAATTTTTTCTTTATGTTTGCTACATACGTGCATTTTTACATGTATGCATCTAATTTTTAAGTAAGTGTAATAATAAAATAATCTAGCACAGACGCACTTGCTTGTGCCTTAAAAGATGGATAAGTGATACCTTTCACTTTGCACTTACAACTAGTCTGAAGAACATGCACAGCCAGTTGGGTTCAGCTTAAACTACACTACTATTCTCTTTACAAGTCAAAGGATATTCCTTAGTCCCATATTTAAAAACCTTTAATGTGCTTAGGTTTTTCAGACTCATAATAATTAAGAGAGTGGGACTGAGAAAAAAAAAAGAAAACCCAAACATGTTTGCTTATGTTTACATAAAATTAAGCAGCACTAGTGATTCTCCCCTAAAAATGAGGGAGAGAGAGATTAAATTGGACAGTAAATGTCTATTCAGTACTAAAAAATTAGATGATTTTAAGCATGTTCAGATGGCTTTCAGGTTACCAGCCTCACCATTTTTAATGAATATATTTTCATTTGAAAATGGTTTCATCTGTCTCATAAGCATGTGAATGACCCATACAAACAACAAACTCACCAACTGAGCAATTGCTGAGGAAGAAAACGAAAGTGACTAAAAAAAACCAAAAACTGCTCTTAGGTACTTAAGATAAACCCACTTATGAAAGAAGTGTCCCTAAAATTATTTTAGAATTTGAAACTTGAGTCTACACTACACCAAGACACCAAGAATCATTCACCACACGCTCCACTATACAAGATCATTAAGTGTTAATACGTATGTGCACACACACTTTCAGTCAAACGTATGACAGAGGCTGACAAAATAAAAGACAAAAAAGGGCATGCACAGTAAGGATTTCTGTACTGGTTTTATTACCCAGGTATATGGATATGCTGCTAAGTACATACAGCCGAAAGTTCACTGTTCTAGCTCTCTAGTACATCATGCCTCCACTTTCACAAGCCCGTTGGAACTCTTAGCTGGTATTGATGATGAACGCAGAAATTTTTTACAAAGGAACTCAATAGAGTTCTCCTTAATTCTTTCTATAGGTTGGCTTCTCCCCTGTTCTTCTGCAAATCACCACACATTATCTGGTCCAAAGTGATGCCATAACTGGACTCCAGTCTACCACCACCTACCCCAATAGCAATAGGGAGGACCTTGCAAAGCAGCTCAAGTTCTGCATTCCTACCTGCAGAAGTGAATCTCTGGATTTCTATTCTAGGTAATATGTATCGGTCTCATTCAATGAATTTCATACATTTCTGAAAATCTGAAAGAAGCCTCTAGCACCACTGTAAGAAAAATCAAGAATATACAGAAAAAATCTGGATCTGAGTAACAGGTCAAATGAATGAATTGCCTCTACAGAAGGAAGTGTCTATCATTATTCATACTTAGACATCCATAGTACTAAGCGAGGGCAATCTAATTTATCTTCTTTGTGAATCTTGGAAGATTCACACCATGCACTGGCATAAACCAAAATCAGGCCAAAATCCGACAGAATATTATTACTGTGAGTGCCGCATCCATGTCCACACCAGTTAGAGATCCCAACCTTCTCCATATCCAGAAGACAACCTTCAGAAAATAGCATAATCATATGGAAGCACTAAAGTATATTCAAACTTTTCCTTTCAACTTGCCTTATCTCACTGAAGAGGCAGCTTACTTCCCCAGTATAAATCTACTATTTCCATATACATGGCCCAAGAAAAAAAAATCTTCCCTGTAAACATCCCACGTCCATTTGGAGCATACTCATCCACACACCAGACAGTAGTGCAAAAATACTTAAAAGCCTGTGACTCTAGGCAGGAACTATTACCAGGGAGCAACACAACACAGTGCATCACACTGGACACGGGCAGGCATATTTTAATTTGAAAGGCTTATTTTAACATAAGCCAAGTTTATTTCAGATAAATGCCGCCTCTGCATACTTGCAGCTCTACAATAGCAACCTCTGCTTTAATTAAGGAGAAATAATACAGTTAATTTTATTTCCTGACCAGTGGGTGGAATCCAACGGTATTAAAGATCCCGTAATCTTCCTGCACACTTCAGGTTACCCCTCAGCTTGGCATGTGCATCTGGGCCTCTGCGGCTCCCTCCCATTTACAGAAACCGATGCGCAAGCTGAGCACAAGCCCCTTATCCTACTTTACCTCAAGAAATAAAAATCACAACCGGTGAGCTAACAACCTTCCCGAAGCTCACGGAACAATGCAGATATCACAGCCGCCACCATCGACCTGCACAACGACTCCCTCTTCCTTAATCTGCTCCGCTACCATCGCTCTCCCACACAGACATTTGCCCCTCGTCCCGCAGCCCCCTCACTCACCCGCCATCCGTTCCCTCTCCATTTTGGAAGGCCGCTTCCCGTTCCACACCGAACCCACCCGCCGACGATGCCCGCGGGCGGGCACACACGCCCCGTTCCCCGCGGCGGGGGCTCGGCCTGCGGCTCCCCACGGCGGGGGCGGCGAGCGCCCAGAGGCACGGCAGGCATTGTCGCTGCCGCCCCGTCCCCGCCGCCGGGTGCCTGCGCCCCGGCACGGACCGCGCCGGCGGCGATGCCCGGGCGGCAGCCCGGCGGCACCTGGGGCGTGCGCGCCGGCCCGAGGCGAGCGGCCCGAGGCCGGCGGAGGAAGCCCCGCACTCACCCAGCAGCAGCAGCTTCAGCTCGCGGCGGGCGTCCCGCTTGTCCCGACGCAGCTGCCGCTCGATCTCGTCGTTGATCCGCCGGGCTTCCTTGGCTTCCTCGCTCAGGCAGCACGCCATGATGGACTCCAGAGTCATTCTTCCTAACTGGTTCAGACACAGCCCCCACCCCCCCTAAACCCGCACGCACACTCGCACACACGCACCCCGCCGCCGCTCCGGCCCCGGGGGGCACAGGCGCTCTCCGAGAGCCCGGGGGCCGCCGCAGGGCAGGCGCGCAGGGAGAGCAGCCTCGATGTCACAGAGGGGCAAGAAGAAAGGCAGGGCCGCTGGCGGCGCGGATCCCCGCTCCCTGCCGCTGACACTCGCCGCTGCCAACTCCTCCTCTCCTCTAAATCATGCACCAAACAACATGGAAACATCCACCGCGGCAGCAGCAGCAGCGCTACCCAGCCAAGCCGCCCCTCGCCCCGCTGCTCCCCTTCCCTCGCCGCCTCCCGCAGCCTGCGCGGTGCCCGAGTGTCCCTGGCGGCTGCCGACACCCCCGCCGCCCTCCGACGCGACCACCCCACCCCCCGTGGAAGCAGTAATGCCCACTAATCCCTCCCCCGCCTCGCACAAGCACACATCTCCCCGCCGCTCCCCGCCCCCGGAGCGGGAGCCCGGCTCCTGCGGGGTGGGCGACACCGCCGCCGCCCGGCAGGAAGAGCTTCCCCGCGGCCGCTCCTCCTTCCCGCCGCCTCGGCCGCTGGCCCTTCCAAGCAGGAGGCGGGGGTGAGGGAAAGCGGAGCTCGGTGTCACGGAGCTCCCGCTGTTCGTTCGGCTCCGCTCGGTTCGGCCCTGCCCGCGTTGCCGATAGAGCAGCGGAAAGGGAAACGAGTGCACTAACAGGGGTCGAGCTCGACCGGCTTTTAAATGGTTGGGCTCCGCGGGCGTGGTGCGGCAGGAATATGGCGGCCCGTCTCCCGCCGCCGCTCCCGCTCTCTCTCCGCCCCGCGGCGCGGTGGGGGCGAGCGGCCGGGGCAGTGAGCCCCCGCCCGCCCCCCAGGGCCGCCCCGCCCGCCCTGCCGCGGCCGAGGAGGGCAGAGGAGGAGGTGCGGGGAGAGACTGAAGGGATTCTCACGCCAAATGGCTGCGAGGAGCTGTGCCTGCCGCGGTTTGTCCTGCCGGGCAGCGCCTTCCCTAACGCCGTGTTTGCTTTCGCTTCCTTTGTTTTTAGTCGTGGGCACACATTTTTATTCGGTTCCCATCCTAGGAGAGATGAGTTGGGTTGGCAGGGACTGGCGGAAAATGTGGCCGGCTGAAAGGAAGGAAGGAGTGAGGAGACGAAAATGCCTTTTCCACCTTTGCCGGAATAGGAAGGCAGAGCGGGACACACGCACACCGTCAGGCACCCGGAAGGTTTAGCGCCCTGACTCCCTGCTGGGAAAGCAAAGCCGTGCGTTCGGCAAGAACGCGCTGGGGCACCCCTCGGAACGCCACCCGTGTGGCCGATACTCGGCTGCGGTGAGTTCTATCCGCCCCTCGCCCCAGCCCCTGCCGGAGGCCCAGTCCCTGGAAAGCTGAACCCACGTAGCGCTCGGTAGCCCCCAGGGTGATGGCATACAATCGAGCAGAATGCACTGATGCACCTTCTAATTCTTGCGAATTCATAAACTCCTCACAAAATTCACACACCTGCACTTCCTTTGGCCACCTCCATTTTAAGCTACTTGTATCTAGGAATGTTGCCAAATCAGCTTTGAATCTGGTGCTAGCCTAGGTAGTGGGTAGAAAGACGCATCACTGTCTTCTAGCTCCATGTCTGATACCTCACCAGCACCTGCTGACATCTGTTTTGAAATTCATATGCTCTTTCATAAAAGCTTCCATATGTACTGACAAAATTATTTAAGTAGGGTCTTCCTTAAAGAGTAAGACAATGAGAGAATTAATTTTTTTTTAAAAAAAAAAGAGAATAAAACAATCAGGAAAATAATACATTCCATCAATTTTTTTTAGAGCATAAAAAAAATCATTACTTAAAAATTGTATGATTTCCACATAGATCTATATTGTACTACTGTATAAAAATGGTTGATACAACTTGGAATCTTTTTTCTTTATTCCAGTCAATGACTTTTAGTCAAAACCGGGTTCCAGCTATTAAGAATAGATTATATTTCATTCAAAAGATATTCTCTCTTTTAAAACCTGTATGTATATAAGTCTATCTGTGTATTCACCTGCATTGTCTGGTCCCTGATGCATCAAGATTACATGCAATTAAGATTTCTAAAGTTCCAACACTGAATTACAGAGACAACAAGTAACGAAAAAGAAAGGGAGGTTACTTCAAGAAAGTAATTATCCAGGTGTTTGGGATAAATGCTACAGTTTTCTTCTAAATGCCAGAGTCCAAAAGAGTGATGGTGAGTGTATAGTAAAGCTCACAAGAAATACTTACTGGATATTTTGTACATCATGCCCAAAACCACGACAATCATCTCCAGCAATCATATCTTGAAAAAAGGTTAGGCACGGGTCAATGAGTTTCCAACTTTTAGGCAAACTGAATCAATATCCTCTCCAAAACTGAGGGCACGCTGTTCTGATAAAAACTGTAACAGTCTGCAGTAGAAGAAGTTGGACTAAACTTTCTGAACTGTTTTGTATGCTCAGTATAGAAGGCATGAACACAGTATGTACCCTCAAATGCAGAACTGTCATTTAATTTTGCATTTTTAATGAGAAATGAGAAAATGAGAAAAGACACCCCACATACCTGTAATCTGTATGTACCACCTCTATTGATACAACTGGATTCTAAATCTTTACAGAATAAATATCTTCAGATTTTAATGGATGAGCCATCTAGTCCTGAATATGGCATCAGCAGATAGCTATTATACACTGTTTTACTCATTTGCTTCATGACTTAGTGGAAGTCAGAAGAACCCCATTATGAACAATTACATGATAATAAACCTATGAGGAAATTTCTTTCCAGACCTCAATTCCATAATGGTTGGCTTCTGTTTTGAAATGTGAAACATTGTTTATAAATATTTTATCCTAATAACAACTATCAGTAAATGACAGAAATCTTTATTACCCATACAGGTAATTATTATCCATAGATACTATCCATAATGTTACCCAATCCTGGTCAGATCCTTCTGATAAGCACTAATCTCATATTCCTCTATCCAAGTAGTCTCCAGTGCATGGTTCATAGTAACCCATTGCCTGTGAGACGTTTTAGTGTTGCTTACTGCCACAGGAAATTAAAAGTGAGACTGACAGAGGGAGAAAAGATAGTATAAAACACCTTGCATCTTTGGTATTCTTACTCATAAGACAGTAGAGATTTAAAGTGGAAACTACCACTATGTTTTATCATGTCCATAGCATTCTTTGCACTAATCTATCCCAGTTTTCAATTGCTTCCTTCCATATGTCTGAAGATATTTATTGTCACTCTCCTCTGTCTCTTCTGCCTAAGATAGGTTTTCTGTGATGTTTTGGCAGGTTCCAAATGGTATCTGAACTTGGTACTCACATGACAGTAAAACAGAAGATTGTGTATAGCAACATCATAGGATTTTCATAATTAGTAAGCCTCCCGTCTTAACCGATGGGATATCTTGTGAGTGCTTTTTGGTTGCCATTGTGCATTAAGAAGATATTTGCACAGTGCTACGCACAAGTACACCCCAGTCTTGTTTGTGAATGCTTCCAGTAAATTTAGAGACTGTCAGTGCGTCTGACTTGAGCAAATTATCCTTCCAGTATGGCCTCCTAATCAGGTTTTTGTTTCCTGGTTTTGTTTGGGTTGGGTTTGCTTGTTTGTTTGTTTGTTTGTTTGTAAGGGGAAAAAAAACCCAAAACAAATAAAATGTATCTGCTGTTCCCCTGCTGTTAAATTAATAATATCCAGTATTTGCAATTTCCTTCAAATGATATCCATTTGTTCCAGTGTGTGTGGTTTTGACAAATTATCTTCTGAATGTTACTTATTTCAATGCAAAAGGTGCCCGCCAAGGTGTTAAGGTACAGGCTAATGAGTAGCGAAGAGTTAACCCCCCTGTTTTAAAATCTGGTTTATGTGGAATTTTAGAAACTTCTTTCCTTCTACCTGTTTGCATGTCGAGCTTCTTATGGATGATGTCTCACTGAAAAAGCTCAGGTATTTTTCGGAAGGCAGAGAAGCGCGTGTGGCAGCCCCGCCGTGCGCCCCAAGCACAGCGCGGAGCGGGACGCGCACCGGGCGCGCCGCCACAGGAGCCGAGCCAGCGCTGTGTCCATCCACAGCGCTCCCCGCCGGCGCGCAGGGGCTGCCAGCCGCATGATTTGGCTCCTTCACTGCGCGCCGAACTGATCCTGGGGCATTGTGTTGGGTGGGAAATTTTTTGGTCGTTAGGGTTTGTTGCTTGCTTGCTTGCTTGCTTGACTGAGTATTTTCCCAGAGCTTGCTGTTAGTTTAAGGATTTGCATTGTCTTTCACAAAGTTTCGGTTGACCCTTCAATCCTTCTCATGGAAAACGTCTGGTAGGCACAGTGTGATCCAGACCACCACTTCTGTGGGAATAAGCTGCTGGATCACCTGCATGAGCCAGTTGTTCTTGTATTGTTCTGCACAAGTCTGGTGGAACAGGATCATAAATTTCAACCCTGAAAAAAACCAAAAACCCAAAGCAAAGCACAAAATCTCACCACGCTTGACATAGCCACATGACAAATTGCATTAATAAATTGGTAGAGTATGAGCTGATACTACAGTAATATGGCCACTCACTGGAAAGGAATAAAGTCTTTACCATTGGCACCTGCTGTTTCTCTGATTACTTTTGTCCTATTGTATTGCTTTTACCATGAAATGGATGCCAATTATGGATCCAGGCTTATTAGTATTTTTATTATTTGACCATTATATAGGTTAAAATCTTCTGCCAAAATTTCAGCAAAGCCTGTGATTAAGTGTTCAGCCCAGGATACAGTATGGGAGATACTAGTCTTCCACCTCCGTGGCATAAATTATAAATTCATATTTTGGCATCATAGAAAAACTATTGTTTCAGTCAAAATACCTTTTATGTGCATTTATTATGTTTGTCACATTCAAGCACATTTTTCTTTCAGCTTCTTGAATTTTTAACAAGGTGGCTTTTACTCATTATGGGTTTCTTATTTTTTGTGCAAGTCCAAAGTAAGTTATTCATATATATAATCACACA